GTCCGGTGTGGGCTGCTGTATCAAGTGCAAGCTAATACACCACCTAACGTAGTCTTAAGTGACAGTAGACTTTGCGCGGGTACTACTGTAGTATCTTCCCTCAATCACCTTTAGTAGGTGTCTAGCCAAACTTTAGTAAACCAGGACTGGTACTGCCACTTCTTATACTCGGGCTGAGACAGTGCAGCAGCAGTGACTATAAGACGTTTTGCGAATTATTTCCTCGCTGAAATGAAGACTTTATTAAGATTATACCCTCGTATTAAGTATTATTACCTCACAATGTTGAGCACCTTCCTTTAAGGAAACGTTTCACAGGACAATCACCGCATGCCTGGTCATGAAACCAAAAGCATTAGAGTAATAAGCAAGCAAACACGGTCTTTGTTGGTTCCCCTACATTGCATTCTTCACGCCCTTATGCGACTGTCTGTCAGGGCTATAGATTAGCTGCCAAGGCAAGGCGGGACGAGCATGTTCGATAAAGACATTGGTGAGGGCCCTATCATATGCCATTTTGGATTCGACCAAAATACGTTGCAATTGTAGAGGGGGCTCTTGGATGCAAACCTTGGATGATTTACAGCTTGGATTGGCTACTGAGAGCTAATATGCCAACATTGAGCAGCCCGGTCTCCATTTTGTTTGTCGATTATGCTCCATCATATTTTACAAGTCGCTGTAGGACATGAGGCAAGGCAATACAGGTTGAGCATGGTGTCAAACCAGATCTTTGAGGACCCTAAATTTCGAGCTGCACTGTGCTTAAGCGAAAACATACAAGAGGCTTTGTTTTACTGCTTGCACACACGTACCACTCAAATGACCCTAAAGTAGATTTGCATTCTTCGATATTCTCTAGATACTAGACGTAAAAGACTGAACGATATGCCCTGAATCTTGCCAAACTGTTTTGCCTAGTGTGGTTGAAAAAGACAGCAAAATAAGATTACATTCCACAACATATTCAGGCATTGATAACCTTTACTGATTCGCGCAACAAAATTAAACCCAGTATCCCCTACAGCACCAACCGAACCTAAATTAAAGCGAGGGCCGCTAAACATTCACGGCTGGCCTGGTGGAAATTGTAGAGGCCGCCGAGATAGCAAGTGATTACGCTTAACCAGGTCCTGTTGTTGGCGCAATTCTGCATGATGAGCAGCTAGATAATTGATGTCAAGCTCAAGACAAGGTTGGGTTTTGGTGTGTACAGTTGACGAAAACACCGTGTAGACGTTTGCTGTTGTATTCGCAATACAGTTAACTGGCACTCTCTAGCAGCCAAACCTCTGCAAGTACGTCTAAAGACAGCCTAAAACACATTTACTAGGTTAGTAAATGCACATATATTACAACAAAACGAATACATTCTGCATATGCCAGCAACCTGACATATCCAACTATTGCAGTCGCTAGTACATTTACCTTCTTCTAAATCTGAGATGAGATACAAAACCTATCGATGCTACTTTTTTAATAAAATAAGGTCTTTTTGCGCTAATTTGGGACACTTGGTAAGCAGATCAGTAAAATGCAGTTTTATTTACAAAGCGCGATGCAAAATATGAAAGAAATATTGACCAAAAGACAAGTTCGGGGAATGGCCGGTGTAGATTTGGGGTGTGGGGTGGTGATCACTTAAGCAATTCCCAACTGCACGCATTCTAGTCCCCTCAAAATAAGAAATTGAATTTTTCCCTCCCACGGCATTCCTTGCGTCACCTTTTTTTTCAAGCAAGTCCACAAATCTTTAACATCGGACTAACTGGAACGGATGGAGGCGATACAACTGAAAAATAATATTTTACGAATCGGTATTTTTTAATAATTTTACAGATGGCGTATGTTTCCTGGTTACACAGGCTTATTGCAAGATTATTAATCAAGTTCACGTCTGCGACCGTTATTTCAAATTAATATACAGAAGGCAGCGTAAGAACACAACAGTTAAATATGCATTGAAATTGCCTGGTCACAATTTTAAGTTAGACACTAGAAAAATCTGATTTTACCTGCAAGCGTCCTTATTCTTATTTACAACCCAGTAACTCTCGGAATACGTCTGAATTAGATTCCTGGACAGGCTACTTTGTACGCCACATCGGTGACTCCGACGTTTCATTGCGCTCCTACTTTCGTTAAGCTGCTAACAGTTTACACGCGGCCGCTTTTTATCACGCCCTTCGATTTACAAAATGCATTCCGCGTTATCGTTTCTTAACTAATAAGAGGGCTGTATCTAATCTGCCGTAAAAGTCTACTTCCTGCAATCACAGGGTGTGACCTTTTACCGAACACGTAATGGGCGCCGACACTGACATTCACTCGTTCGCATCCCTCGCCCTCACCCCGTGATAGGGACCAGTCATGACATCGCGCCACCTACTATTGAAGACGAGCACTCACGAGCATGCCCAGCTTCGAGCAATTAGCGTCTATAAGCGTTGTTATTTGACTACTGAATGCCAAAACTTTGTCCTAGGCCACGCCAAACTACAACGCATGCTTTCTGCTGGTGCCATTACGAATCTCCGTGTAAATACGGGACATGGTCGACTGAAAAACTTACCTACCGACCAGTAAAGCCGACGAACTTGGTCGGTCCATCATCTGCAATTATCTTACACCACAGGTATGACAGAAGTTCCTGCCGTAATTTTCTAAGCACCTAAAAAACAAACTTTTCAAGGTATCATCAACGGAGTCCTGTGCGACTTTCGTTTGGTTTTT